GTAATCATTGTTGACGGCTATTTGTTTTATTATGTTCCGTTCTTTATTGAAATTCATCGGTCTGTGGATCATACTGTTGAAAGCGGCTAATTTGTGCTGATACGGGTGGGTGGACGAATTATGAATGGTACTATTTGTTTATGGTGGTTTACGATAAATTTAAAAATCATGTTCGTTGTTAACTTTTGTTATTGTCAAGTCCAAAAAATGTATATTTATAGAGTCGTCCTTTTCCATCTCCATGGTGAATGTGATAGAAAGGTGGAAAGAATTGATGAAATTAAAAAACTTAGTCAACTGTCTGTTCATTCCTGTGATACATGCCAGGATATCATCCACATATCTATACCAATACACGAAACTTCTCACCAGTGGGTTACTGTGTATTTTTCTCTCCAAATCATCCATGAAAATCTCTCAATGAAATTTTTTACTCGTCCTGCAAAGGTCTCATAATGGGAAACCCGCTTGGTCCCATTTTGGCAGAGATTTTCATGGACGATTTGGAGAGAAAAATACACAGTAACCCACTGGTAAGAAGTTTTATGTATTGGTATAGATATATGGGTGATATCCTGGCATGTTTCACAGGAACAAACAGACAATCGACTACGTCTTGAATTTCATCAATTCTCTCCACCCTTCTATCACATTCACCATGGAGATGGAAAAGGACGCCTCCATAAATTTTTTGGACTTGACAATAACGAAAGTTAACAATAAACATGATTATCATTCATAATTCATCCACCCATCCGTATCAGCACAAAATAGCAGCATTAAACAGTATAATCCACAGACTGATAAATGTTCCCTTGCCAGATACGAATTTCAATAAAGAATTGAACATAATAAAACAAATAGCCGTCAACAATGATTACGATAGCAGTCTAATACATTCTCTATTATCAAAAAAGCGATACCGCCAAGCTTTGAAGGAAGTTTACCCAATTTCGAAGAGATGAGGATAAAAGTTATAGAATCTCAACCTGCTTAGGCCAACCCACTACGAATATTTCAAATTTCCTGCACAACAAAGGTGTGAATATTGCTTTCAAAACCAACAACAACTTGAGCATGGATATTAAGAATAACAAAGATAAAAGTTCAGTTTCAGAAAAATCGGGAGTGTAAAAATTATCATATGGGTCATGTCCGATGTTTTATACAGTGTGGTCCACTAAGTGTGCAACAAATAGGAAACTTTATTATCGATTTCTCAGAAAATTTTATTCTTGACAAAAGTTGCTGCATGTTCCAAAACTATACCAAGTGTACCTGAAATGGCTTTATGACAAACACCATACAGGATAGGCCAAAAAATATAAAGTTCGTTCAATAGTAAAGTACCCTTATTTCAAAAAATTCAGAAATATGTTGAAGAGAAAAGTTGCTTTGAATTAAAAGTTATGTTCAGATACAAAGT